AATAAAACTGGAATTACTGTGGTCATATGCAGTATAGTGGTAATGGCTTGGTATCTTGGTATATGGGATGAATGTACCGACACCTCCCACACATTGACTACAAATTGTGCAACATATTGCAATTTGATTAACCAAAACCTCCATAAGTTGTGCTACATGGAATATCCCCTATGTAAAAATCATAGTATCTGTATAGTGTTCTTAGACATGTGCATACGTGATACTCTATCATTACAATGTAGTAAATAGGGTAAAGACTGGCCGTTAGTTGTACTTCCCAGCCTCGTTCCCCAAAATGACAAGTTCTAGTACAACATTTTCTCAGTTCGGTTAAAAAAATCCTAATGTTCAAGTTGCACAGATACGACCACAAGCTTGACTATAATATGCACTTATATCACGACTGTCTTGAATTGACCAATGAAACTGGAATTATTGTGGTCATATGCAGTATAGTGGTAATGGCTTGGTATCTTGGTATATGGGATGAAAGTACCGACACCTCCCACACATTGACTATAAATTGTGCTACACTTATACACAACATATTGCAATTTGATTAAACTTCACTATTATGCGGTGCATTGATTCCAAAAACAGTGTGGGGTTGACCTATGCCCAATCTGATTAAAATCTGATGTAGTGTACGGGCTTTAATTATTTTGGCTATAAACTTATTTTAATTTTATGTTTTATTACTTTTGTTATTAATGCCTTTTTATTTTATTATTTTACTTTGATTTTGATTTTGTGATTTTTTTAAAATTCCGCCCTACATACATCTGAGCCGATGCCTATGTAACGAGATTTCAACGAGACCCACTGTCGACGATTTTAGTCAACGAATCACAGACCTTCTTCTATAGCGCACATGATGACGTCACTGGGCAGAGTCAGGTGGCAAACACACTCAAACATAAAATGGCGGATTATACCGACGTTAGGACCGAGAAGAACATGGCTTTTCGGTAAGTTTATCATTGTCAAATGCAACGAAAGTCATTTTTTTATGTTTATATTGTGGCTCGAATGGTTCGAGTTTAGATATTTACTTTGCGTAGTTATTCTGGGAGTGACGATTTTGTTTCCACCGGTTCGACCGAACACCGGTGTCTTTTTCCAGTCGCTTGCCCTGAGA